AAAAAAAAAAAAAAAAAAAAAGGTCGAAATATTTGATTATTTCACATTGCCTTTCGCATCTTCTTCATCCTTGTTTCAAATAAAATTCGCCTTAGCCAGGCTTCCTACGAAATTATTGGGAACATCAAATAAATTGTCATTCGAAAGTACCTTTAATAAATTGAATTCGCCGTCCTCCTTTGCTTCAATGCTAACAGCAATTTGTTTCAATTACACGAAACTCGTTTTAATTTTACGTAATTGAATCACCAAATTCAATCAGTGGTGGAATCTTGTGTAAATTATTATTTAAGAGCATTCTGAATGAAAGTCTGAAACGGATTGCTCAGCTGTTATATTTAAATAATAAATTACGGGAATCTTCTCGTTGTTTTCAGACGAGAAAAATTATGATTAATGTTATATATATTAAATATTAAATAAAATATATCATACATTATTAAATAGTATATATTACACGGTTAAATTAAATATTAAATAAAATATTAAATAAAATATTAAATAAAAATTAAAAATATTAAATAAAATATTAAATAAAAATTAAAAATATTAAATAAGATATTAAATGTAAAATTTGTATTATATTATTATATTATTTGTATTACATTATTATTATATTATATTATATTATATTATTATATTATATTATATATTATTTGTATTTATATTATATTATTATTTAAATATGATATGCTGCATATGTTTAATATAAAATTATAATAATATAACATTAATATCAAATTATATTTAATTATATTTAATATCAAATTATATTAATATAACATTACGTTGTTAGAAGTTGTTTTTCAGGCAAATAATTTAATTTTTTTACAATAATTGCATGTAAAATTTATGATATGATACGTACCAGGAATTTCGAATATTTAAAAAACAAAGAGAATACTAATTTATTTACTAATTTTATAAAATCGTATAAATTCTGAAGAAATATTTCTCATATTATTTTATTGCAAAAAATAAATAAATTGGAATGTACATGTAATTAGAAATAGTATAGTTCCCTAATATATATTAAAATATACGAAATGTTTTTTTTTATTATTATTGCAATCATCTCTTGCTGCACGAAACTTTCCTATCATTACCACAAACTATAAACGAGAATCATTTATACTATTTATAATATTTTGTTTTAATTTCATTTTAGAAGATTTAGGTTATGTTAAACTGACGAAATTCACATAGCGCGTATTCTAACCTTCTGAATTGAAATTAAAACGAAACATTTAAGCATTATTTCGAAAGAAGTTAACCTAAACCTTATTTAAAATAAAAACTAACCTGACTTGAGCCTTCTGAGTTGAAATTAAAATAAAATATTTCATCGTTTTAGAACAAAGGACAACCTAACCTAACTTAACATAATCTAAATCTAGATTACTTCTAAAATGGAATTAAAACAGAATATTTCAGAATATTTATTTCAAAATAAAAGACAACCTAACCTAACATAACCTAAATTTTTTAAAATGAAATTAAAACAAAAGATCAAGCAAATATGTCCACAATTTTTATTATCTCATTTACAAGCTAATTGTCCAATAGTTTTTTATTATCTTATTTACTTATTTATTGCAGATAAAATGCACCCGAGCCTAAATCGAGAGATACGAAAATCACAAAAAATGGGCATTCCCCTTATCCTTCAAGTACCATCGTATAATGCGAGATTTATGTCGATGGTATCCTTTTAAGACGGTATTGTAGGAGCTTTACTTTCCAGTAAAACGAATTTCATCTATTCCTATTATATCGTCTTTTGTCTGGTACTCGAATGAAAAGGAAAAGAAAGATGTATTGGTTGATCCCTTTTATTCCTTTTTAGAATCTCAGTTTACACGAAAATAATGTCGCGTAAAAGATTCCCAAGCACGTGGGAATATTATTTTTAGAAAACACATTGTGTACCACCATCTTTCGAAATAATATTTATTTAATCGAAGCCGTAAGATATTTATGTTTTACATTCGCTTAATTTTGAAATTTCTAATTCGATTCACAGACGCTGACCAAAGTTAAAAAAAATTAGAGCCACCTACAATTCTCAATGTCTGGTTTCAAAATCTTAAAATTGTAAAATTCTAGAAATCCTAAAATTTTGAAGTTCTAAAATTCTATAATTCCAAAAGTCTGAAATTCCAGAAATTCTGAAGTTCCAAAACTTCAAAACTGCAAAATTTTGAGGCTCCGAAAATTCTCTAATCCCAGAAAATTCCAAATTTTTAAATTTCAAATAAGAGTCTAAAGTGCCAAAATGTTACAAAATCTCTAAATCCAAAAATTCCGAAATTCTAAAGTTCTAAAAATTCTAAAAATTTCGGAATTCCAATATTTTTGAATTTCGAAAATTCTAAAATCCAGAAATTCCAAAATTCTGAAAACTTTAAAATACCAAAGTCTCTACAAAATTCATCGGAACGTGACTCCAGGATCATCGTGGTGAAACAACTATCATTACGAATTCTCACTCGTTAAAATGTTAAAATGTTAAAATTACTGCAACACAACTTTGTTACATATTTCATTGCAGTAAATATTTTCAACAATTCAACAATTTCTTGTAACAACAGAAACCTAACCTAAACTTGTTAGAATACAATTTTTGTAACAACAAAAACCTAACCTAAAATTGTTAGAATACAATTCGTATATTTAATTGTAACAGACATCTTCAACATACTTTCAATATATTCCAATCGCTATTAAATAAAATAAATTATTATTTATAAAGTAAATAAAACATTTCAAAAATAATAATAATAATAATAAAATTTCATTCAGAACCAAGAACTAGCCAAAAGTCTGAAATGTCCCGCAGAAAAAGCAACAGAAGAAGCATTTCAGAATTCGAAAGTTCCCGATTCGACCTTTGTGCGGATTTAAAAATCATTTTCCAATCTATCCCGGGCAGTTTCCTCCACTGGAAGATCTTTCGTTCGTTGTACGATGGATACGCGGAGGAATGTTTTTGTAGCCTGGCACGAATTGCTTCGTCAAAACGTTCTCTGTACACCGGAATCGCGTTGGATAACAACATTCTGCCTTTTCTAAAAGCGAGGAACGTTGTGGAAAACGTTCTTCCATCCGATTCGTCTCTTCAACAAATTACTATCACCAATAGAGAGAAGTGGCCCATGTGAAACACCCTGTACAATACTTGCATGTTGTCCATTATACATATTATATTTTTAAATGTTTCTCGTGACAATCGTGCCTTATATCGCACGATTTTTATTAAATGTTTCATTAATATTTTATTAAACAACGTATGCAAGCATAATACTTTCGTGACTAACTTTTATTGTAAACGCCGGTAGTAGTCAAGATATTGCTCTATATTATTAACTGTAGTTAGTGGAAACGTAAGATAAACAAGAAAACAAGTGAGGTTTAAAATTGAAGAAAGAATTTAAATGTGCAAGTTGCATGAAGCATATGTTAATCTCATAATATTGTACTTCAATGTATTGTTCAAACTATACATAATAATATGTAATTCTTTTACAATTATTTAATTCATTATATTTATTGTTGATTACACGTTATTGTAATTATCTGGTCCACTATATTATTATCCATTATAGGTTCGTGAAAAAAATAAAAAAATATTATTTAGCGTTTTCGTTTTTTAAATAAAAAGTTATATATTGTTATGCAATTCTCATGTTTTGAAACTCACTCATTTACTAACAATACATAAAGAAAATACCATCTCTGGCAAAGATTAATTTTTTTAACCCCCCTATTGAGAAACGCAAACGTTGGTGGATTGTGTTAGAAATTAAAAAGTACGGATAAGTAAATTTTATTAAACGTACACTAATTTGATCTTCCGTTTCATAAATAGAATATCGCAGCTAGTATATAAAATAAAACTATTTATTTATAGATTTTTTTTAAACATTATTTTTCATTGTTTACAGCTTATAATTAACCATCGTATGATAGCGTTTAAAGCATTCCCCGACATGCAATCCCGGTTTTCTGTCGCAGGTTTCGCATATATACGAAGTCTCTTTCCTACCACCTGGAACTTTTCGATTAGAACAAACTGCACAATCCTTGTGTTTATGCTGGGGATGCTGTGTAATTATATGTAACGTTCCATCGAGTCGTTGTTCCTTGTCGCTGGATGATTGTTGTCCACGTTTTCCTGTTGTACGAAAGTCTCCCACAAGATCCAGCAACAGCTTTTCTCTGAATTGTCTGTGAGAAATGTGTTCATCGGTATTAGGAGGGGAC